CCCCGTTTTTATGCCCTGTCCAATGTTTTTTGGGCTGACCTTCTCTACCCTGCGGCATCTGGGATTTTGGACAAAAACTCTTCCTGGGAAATACTTTTTACTTTCCGGGAAGGCTTTCTTTTTGTCGGCAGTATGTTCAAGGGCCTCCTCCAACCCAGGGCCAAAAAGATTATCCCCTGAGAAAGGCAAGGCGCAAAGGCGTAGTTTAGACGCAGAATCCCTTGCCCAGATTTTTTAACCATAAGGCCCGCTTGGCTGAATTAACAAGGGCTGAAGATCTAGCAGCCAGCTTAACAGATTCCTCTGAGGCATCAGCCAAAAAACCAGCTGCTTTAAAAAGTAAAGGCATAGATTTCAAAATCTGCTGCCTAGAAGTTCCTGCCGCTAGATGGTTCTGTAACTGGGTAAGCCAGCATTCTAAATTTCTGGCGACACAGGTAGCAGAAAGGGCTGGTTTAAAGCTAACTGAAGAAGACTCCCATGCCCTATGTAGCAGGACCTCACCTCTCTTGTCCATGGGGTCCTTTAACGCCCCCATGTCTTCGAAGGCTAGATCCATTCTCTTAGAAATCCTGGATAAAGGAGCATCCAATCTTGGAACCTTATTCCAAGGCTGAGAAGCATCATCATCAAACGGAAATCTTCTTTTCAGAGCCCCTGAAAAGAAGGATTTCTTATCTGGATTTTCCATTCCTGTTTGATGGTGTCATAGAACCATGAACCGGGAAAACTCTGCTCTTCATAGCAAGGATCCCCTGGTACATGAAGTCATTCTTGGACAAAGACACTTCCTCCTCCTCAATTTCCAAGGTCTCATAGATAGCCTTTAAGAGATCGTCCACTTCCTCTATGGCCAACTTATATCTGGTGCCTCTAGAAGCGGTACTCTCCACGTTATCGGCCTCTGAACCCGAACCGGCCTGAGAGGAGGGAAGGGACTGAGGGTCCTCCTCTTCTGGATCTTTCTGCCTGACTTCCCTTACAGCTGTGGCTGACTGCGTCCCAGGCCCTAGTGGAGCCTGCATTCTATCAAACAGTGACCTAAAAAACTGAAATGTAGCCGTCATGTCATCCTTGATTGAGGATAACACCTTGTGGCAGGTCGTGAAGGACTCATCCTTCACTAGGCTATCAATACAACCACGGCACAGGGGTTTCTCACATGCAGACCCCAACTTAGCCGCGCACACTGCACACTTTTTTCTTTGGGGCCTGAACCAAGGTCCTGTCCTGGGTCTTAACTTAAAGAAAAAGGACAAAGAACAATACGGACCCTCAGCTCCAAAAACCCCACTACATACCCTGTGTTTTAGGGGAAACCTGAAGCGTGCTCCCCATCACCTGCCCCCAACTGGGGAGACCATCAACCACCCTCCCAGGAGTCAGCTAAAGGGGACCCTCCCTAAGCCTACCTGAGAGGAGCCGGTGCCGGAACCAGGATTTGTCTGCAACAAAGGGCCCGCATCCATGGTGTTCTGTCCGGTATGGATCACACAGCCTCTGCTGGCTCCACGCCTCACCGACTGCCCGAGTGGAAGCCTGCACCTCTTCAGGAGACTGGAACCAGCGTCTCTGGCGCCCGCCGATGACGTCACTGCGCCGGACTTCCTGTCCGTGGAGCGCAGCCTCTTCAGCGGAAGTGACCTAACTTCCGGTCCATGGAGCACAGGGCCCTGCTGGAATGCAGGGCCTCGTCCACCGGAAGTCGCGTCAGACTTCCGGCCTGCAGAACGCAAGGCCCGCCCCTACCGGAAGTCCTGCCTGTTCCCTTCCGCCCAGGGCTCAGCACGCCTGTACTGGCCTTTTGGGGGAAAGAGAGTTTACCAGGCCCAAAGGGAGTGGATGCCCTAACTCACCGTCGGACATCCCCACTCCCCTGCAAGAGACCCTGCCATCGCCGGTCCCCCACCTGGGGATGAAGGCTCCCACACGCTGCCAGCTGCACTCACCGTGGAAGGATAGTGCCGGGGAGGAGGTAAGTGAATCCCTGGGCCCACACTCTTCCAGGACTACCCCTCTGAGAGTGCAGAGACCCCGTAGGTTCCAAACGTGTTCCTTTCGGATCAGGAAACACTAAAAAACTGGGGATGGAGGCCTGGAGGTCCACCTTTAAAGGCGTGGGGGATGGCGTGTTTCCTGACCCGGAGGGAGGAGCTCTGCGTCTCAAGGGGCTGTCCTTGAATACGTAAGGAGAAAAAGGTATTTAGCAGTTTATATTTAATAAAATAACTGCACTTCCATGTTCTGTCTACTGTGGGAGACCAGATATAGTGAATGCAGGGTCCTGGGTTTAGTAACATTTTAAGGATACATTACTTTCACATTTGGGACACTGGACTTTTTATATAAAAGTTTGTTTTATTTTGATTTTGCATATTTTTTTGATAATTGGTTTTATCACGTGGAGTTGCACTGCGCTATATTTTATCATTTTCCCTACTATTCTCACCTAAAAATTTTAAATATAGATTTCAAGTATGTGTTTGGTAGAAATTGGGTAGTGTCAGGACAGTATGCAAGCAGCTTGGTTAGGTTGCAATATAAATAGTAGAAAGCCAAACGGTATTATGGGAACAGTTTGGCAGGCCACAATATAAGAATTGAAATAAACATTAGACTGATTTATTTGAGAGACAGTTGCCACAAATATTGTACAGTGGCTGTACAGTGCAGTTCCAATTGGCAGCAAGCAGCAGCTGTCATCACATTAGACTGATTTATTTGAGAGACAGTTGCCACAAATATTGTACAGTGGCTGTACAGTGCAGTTCCAATTGGCAGCAAGCAGCAGCTGTCATCTAGTAATGATAATAAATAAATGTGTCATTGTTTTCTCTTGTAAGGCTGTCCCTGACCTGGGCAAGCAAACACAGGCAAGGTTGGCAATGCAAACTGTGTACTACATGAGGCAAGAAGAAAGTAATATGCCTCAAAACCACCTAGTCCCTATGCAAAACCAGAAAGTGCTCCTTGGGATTAAAGCTGTCAGCTCAGATACTTGCCTAGCAGAGGCAATAGCTACAAGGAATTCCACCTTGCAAGTAAGAGCGGAGAAAGGAATATATCTAATGGGTTTAAAGCAATTTCCAAAGTTCAGAGAAAACCAGATAAGGCCTTAATCAAGGATTGAAAAACCAATCTGCCTGAAACAAGATAGAAAGGGCAAAGACCTGACCTTTGATAGCACTGAAAGTTGAATGCTAGCCCACCATTTTAAACTTTACAGGTAAACGTTTTATAATAATCTTTACAAGGAAGACTTCTAGCTAATATAATTCTTTTAGAACAAGTTATATTATAAGGTCTGTACTCTAACAGTCCCTGCCTGAGACCACGTCACTCTGATGTATTTTACCCTTATAAGGCTTAATCGTAAACTGTCAACATACAGACCTTGAAAAAATGTGTTCTAAAAGAGTGACATCATCAGTGTGAGGCCTTCCTTGTAAAAAATGTATTGGATATTACAGTGAGGATGAACTCTCATGACCAGCACTTATTTCACCTCAGACAGAAGAAGACCAGCTGAGTCTGGAATGGTGCTCTACACAACACAATGTATTACAATTTGATTTTATTTTTAGAGCTGTAACAAAAATAATCAAATTCATGGACTACTGGATCAAGCACGTACCACTTGCTGGAGAGGGCCTTGTATTACTTTCACTTAATGCAAGGCATTCTGTAAATGGAGGAGGTGCACACGAATGCAATGATCTCAGAACACTTTGCATTCAGTGAAAGGAAATCATTTCAAAGTCCAGGAAGAGACGTGGCCAGCATGCACTCTACGGGCCAGAAATGACACCCCTGGAAACCCCATCCAATGCATTTCCTGTTCCTGAAGGCACCCTGTAGGATTGGCAAAAAGGTGGATCTCACTTGAAAAAGGGTCTTTTACTCCAAAATGTTGTGATTCCCACTTCTGCCAGATCCTGAGTGTCTGCATGTCAGCTGAAAGTTTTTTATTTCTGGTATCTTTCCATGTGTATTGATATTTGATAATTGCTGTACTTTAAGCCTGGATCTCCTCCCACCCTATTCAAAGGAAATGCATATAATGCCTATAACTGAGAGTTTGTCATTGTCTAGATAGAGGAACTGTGGGAAGATCTTGTGCATGTATTCTGTTAAACTGTTTTATCTTTATATAATGCTTTCTTTCAAAAATATACGAAAATCAAATCATTAGCTGTTTGGAGCGCTGCCTATTATTTACTTATAAATAAAAAATATCCCACTATGCATTTCAAACTATGTAAAGAGATGTAAAATCTCTTTTAAAAAGTAGCCTGATGATAGCAAATGTTTGAAATGTCACCAATGTAATGAGATCAAATCAGATTTACAGTTCTAGCATTTAATCGGTCATAATTGGCTTAAAACTCATCAACCATAGAACCTTGTTTACAGTTAAGCTGAAGAGGTGATACTGTAGTAATATTTAAGGAGAAAAAATGTGGATTAATAAACTCAACAGTAAAGAAGAATATTGAAAGATATCTACACACAATTTTCCTACTGTTTGTAAAAGTTTCCTTTTTTTTTTAGAACAGACCCAGTTTCTTGTGTTAATCATGGCTAATTGAAAATAACATTGACATCCATTATAAAACCACTTATGTCTGAAAATACACCATCCACTTTTGAAAATTGCTGTATGATCATTAGCCCTACTGAGCCTAATACTGTAATTTTATCCAGTCAGAATAAATGTTGTTCTGTCATTAAAAAAAATTGTGAAATGATGCCATATTCTCTGCAATTATGTTTAACTTATTATAAATCCAAGGTCAAGAAGGCACATATGCTAGCTTCAAATATTGGCCATATCAGATATAATGACAAAGATTTCATCATTTGAAAACTGATTAAGTAAATATATATATATATTTAATACAGTATACTGCCAAAAGTATTGGGACATCCCTCCAAATCATTGGATTCAGGTGTTCCAATCACCTCCATGGCCACAGGTGTATAAAATCAAGCACCTAGGCAGGCAGACTGCTTCTACAAACATTTGTGAAAAAATGGGTTGCTCTCATGAGCTCAGTGAATTTAAGTGTGGTATTGTGATAGGTTGCCACCTGTGCAAAAAGTCCATATGTGAAATTTCCTTGATATTAAATATTCCACAGACAACTGTTAGTGGTATTACAACAAAGTGGAAGCAACTGGGAACAACAGCAACCCAGCCACAAAGTAGTTGGCCATGTAAAATGACAGAGCGAGGTCAGCGCATGCTGAAGCACACTGTGCGCAGAAGTCGCCAACTGTCTGCAGAGTCAAGTAGCTAAAGACCTCCAAACTTTGTATGGCCTTCAGATTAGCACAACAGCAGTGTGTAGAGAGCTTCATGGAATGGGTTTCCATGGCCGAGCAGCTGCATCCAAGCCTTACATTACCTTGCATCAGCCTTACATCAAGTGCAATGCAAAGCAACAGATGCAGTGGTGCAAAGCAGGCCAGATCTGGACTCTAGAGCAATGGAGACGTGCTCTCTGGAGTGATAAATCACGCTTCTCTTTCTGGCAAACTGATGGACATGTCTGGATTTGGCAGTTGCCAAGAGAACGGTACTTGCCTCACTTGTGCCAAGTGTAAAGTTTGGTGGAGGAGGATTATGATGGGGGTTGATTTTCAGGCATTGGGCTTGTCCCCTTAGTTCCAGTGCAGGGAACTCCTAAGGCGTCAGCATACCAAGACATTTTGGAGAATTTGACTAGCCTGCAAAAAGTCCTCACCTCAACCCAAAAGAGCACCTTTGGGATGAATTAGAGAGTTGACTGTGAGCCAGGCCTTCTCGGCTGATATCAGTGCCAAATGCGCTTCTGGAAGAATGGTCAAACATTTCCATAGACATACTCCTAAACCTTTTGGACAGCCTTTCCAGAAGAGCTGAAGCAGTTATAGCTGCAAAGGGTGGGCCAATTCATTATTGAACCCTACAGACCAAGACTGGGATGCCATTAAAGTTCATGTGTGTTTAAAGGCAGGCATCCCAACACTTTTGGCAATATAGTGTATGTTCTGTCTTTATTTGCCTATACAGTATCAGGGGCGGACTGACCATTTGGAAACTCGGGCACTGCCCGAGGGCCTGGGGTAAGTAGGGGGCCCCATGAGATGTCCCTGGTATCTTTTTCATAGGCTTTTTTGAGTTTGGGCAAGGACACAGGGGCCCCATGATCCCCTATTGCCCGGGGGCCCCATGAGTTGTCAGTCCGCCCCTGAGTATGGTTGATCACAGTTACCACCAGTCATCAATATTTCCCATTCTTCAACAGTAATTTCTGGCTTCACTAACATTTGCTGTATTCATTATATGCTTGCTGACATTAAGTGCTTTTTCTAAATTCACCTTTTTAAAATTATTTTAATCAAAAATAGTCATTCATTCCAGTGGATACTTAAATCAAACTAAATATGTACAAGAAAAAAATTGGGACTTTAGAAGTACCATATATACTTGAAAAGACAGCAGACTGTTAAAATTTAATTTTATTTATTCTTTGTTTGATAAAATAATAAAAAACAACCATACATATTGTTACAAGATGGTATACATGTGAATTGGATGGTCAAACAAGCTGCTTCATCCATGACAAGGAGAAATCTGCCCCAGAATAAATAATCCCAAAGTGTTGCAATTCATCATTATAATCCTCCTCAGCAGGAAATAATGCAGCAGCAGCAGTTCCTACAAAATGAAAAATATATAAAGAAAATCGTTTTCACATTACATAACATAGTATACATATAGCATAAACATACAGTGATAAACTTACAGAACCATTTGTCACTAAACAAAAATTCCCAATGGAACCATTTTAGCAGCATTGGAACAAAAAGGATGCTGCAAGAATCTCCTGACAGGAGGAGGCTGAGAAAAATAAAACAATAGGCCCTAGTACCAACCAACAGCATATAAATATTAAGAGACCAAATCAAACTTCATTCAACAACTAATGTAAAAAAGAAGAGCACCTACATTTTCTTGTGTAGCCACGTGAGGTGGACTGCAATATTATCACATTGCAAAGAGTCAAAGAATCATAGTAATCGTTCAGCAATCAGCTCAGCTGCATCAACTAAGTTAATAGGTTCATAATTAACCGAAAATTGCTTGGCCAAACCACCAAACAATACACCAAGGTGTAATTTCAAAACAGCTAAGCATAAACATCCATACAGTGGCTATATATGAAATGAGAATTACTCATGGAGAAACATGGTATAAAGCAACAGGTCACTCATTCAGTAACTCTGAACAACATAACTATTTCTTTTCTAAATTCACCTTTTTAAAATGATTTTAATCAAAAATAGCTTTCCCACCGCCAGATATACTGCTACGGAGTGGCAGTGGTGCGCATAATCACGTATATATCCATGATTTTGCAATTCCGGGAGCATGCGAGCTGCACACACACCCCCCCACCGCCGCTGCCATTCACGGCTGCGACTGCCAATCACTGGGTCCCTGATGATGATTACCGAGCATCTCTAACGGGGGAGGAGGACTTTTTGTTTACTAACAGTCCTCCTCTCTTGTCAGCACAACCATCCAGCAGTGTGATTACAGTGAAGCACACAGACTCCGCCCCTCAGTAGAACACTCCCTGCACACAGTTAACCCTTTGATCGGCCCTCAAGTTAGCCCCTTCCTGCCCAGTGCCATTAGTGCAGTGTCAGTGATTTTTTTTAGCACTGATCACTGTATTGGTGTCACTGGGGATGTCAGTGACACCAAGTCAGTTCCCCCCAGTGTCAGAATGTCCGCCACAGTCCTGCTATAAGTCGGTGATTGCCGCCATTACTAGTAAAAAAAAAAATCCCAGTATCTATACCCGCCACTTGTAAACACTAACTTTCAAGTAAACCAATTAATTTACACGTTTTGGGAATTTTTTTTAGCAAAGACATGTCACAGGATATATTTTGGCCTAAATTTATGATGAAATTTGATTTTTACATCTTTGTACTGGACATGTTTTATAGCAAAAAGTCCAAAATATAGTTTTTTTTCTCAAAACTGTCGGTCCTTTTTTTTTTATAGCGCAAATAATAAAAAACACACAGGCGATCAAATACCACCAAAAGGAAGCTCAATTCATGGGAAAAAAAGACGTAAATTTCCTTTGGGTGCAGCATTGCATGACCGCGCAATTGTCAGTTAAAGTAACACAGCGCTGTAACACAAACCGCTTCTGTAACCGCTTCCTGACCGCCCTATAGCAGAAATACTGCTACAGGCGGCACGGGTGCGCAAAATCCAGTGTATGTATATATATATGTGATTTACACTCCCATGGTTTTCATGCCCCTCCCAGATAGCGTCAGATTGGCCGTCAAAAATGTGATCTTTTACATTTTTTTACTTGACATGTTTAACCACTTGCCTACGAAGCACTTTCACCCCCTTCCTGCCCAGACCAATTTCAGCTTTCAGCACTGTCGCACTTTGAATGACAATTGCACGGTCATGCAACACTGTACCCATATGAAATTTTTATCATTATTTTTAGAGAGATAGAGCTTTATTTTGATGGTATTTAAATCATCACCACTGGTTTTTTATTTTTTTGATAAACAAACCAAAAACAACTGAAAATTAAAAAAAAAAATGTTTCTTTGTTTCTGTTATAAAATTTTGTAAATGAGTAATTTTTCTCCTTCACTGATGTGAGCTAATGAGGCTTGACAGCTCATGAGGAGAGAAATGCCAATAACCGGAATTTCCTTATTTACATGCGATCAGCTGTGATTGGACACAGCTGATCAAATGACAGAGCCAAAGTCATCAGCTCTTTCCGCTGATTGGCAATCCACTGTGTCCCAGGGACACAGCGCACCACTAATCGCCGCACTGCGCACCCCCGGGGGCACGCACATGCGGTTAGAGTGTGAGGATGTCATATGATGTCCTCCGAGAACGAGAGAACCACCGCGCTCCCATCATTTTCTTATATGTCTTTATGATTACGTCTTTATGATTATGTCCAATGATGAAATGCGTCAAAGGGAAGTGACGTCAGACGCACATGAGGAACCAGAAGTGGAGCAGCGGCCATTTTGGAGAGTGGAAGAGAGCAGACACAAGGAGCTGGGACTTTCCTGGATGGCGGAAAGGTTTTCTTATATACCAAATGCGGTTTTAAAGATATTTTAAATGTGAGCAGTACTATTAAAGCTTTAAAGATTTTAGTGTGTGGCAGTATTACACTATTTTTGTTCCATATATATGGGTATCTGGATGGAGTACACTGTGAGAAGACAGCTGGAGTGCTAGTGTGGATGGACCTAGGTGATGTTATGGAGTCATGGTAATCCTTGTGGATCTCTACAGGAGGGCTTATTCCATTGTTTATTTCTTGGATTGACATTAAGGCGAGATTTATTTGTGATATCAGTAACACTGCTTGTGCAAACCGTTGGGAGGCTCTATACACTTGGATTATAATTTTCGATGCATTAATCTATTACACAAGAGGGACAGTTGATATATTTGTGTGGTATTCTGTTCTGTATTTGTGATTTTGGACTTTATTTGGACTTTATTATGTTTGTGACTTGTGGTAGGAGGATATTATACTAATTATTATATCAATTATTTATTTGGCATATTCACTAAAAATATTGTTTGCATCTTCAAGGGTGGAGGTAGAGATTATGCTATAAGGGGATTGGACAGTTTGGGTATATTGGTATTGGTAGTGTTTTATTTGTAACATTTTCATATATATGGCTGGCGGGAGGTGGTTAATACCAAAAAGTCAAAAATATTGTTTTTTTCTCAAAATTGTCTCAAAAAAATAATAAAACACACAGGCGATCAAATACCACCAAAAGAAAGCTCAATTTGTTGAAAAAAAAGTATGTAAATTTCACTTGGGTGCAGCGTTGCATGACAGCGCAATTATCAATTAAAAGAACGCACATTGAAACACACATTGCCACATTTTTTAAATGCGTCCAGTCAAGCTGTTGTTTACCTTTCTCAGCAGGGAAGCTCACAGCTAGCTTGCTGCTGAAGTCCACATTTTGGTCACTCCTCAGTGCTGCCTTGGCCGTGACTACAAGTCCCAACCAGCTGTTTTACCTTTCTCAGCAGGGAAGCTCACAGCTAGCTTGCTGCTGAAGTCCACATTTTGGTCACTCCTCAGTGCTGCCTTGGCCGTGGGACTACAAGTCCCAACCAGCTGTGGTTTACCTTTCTCAGCAGGGAAGCTCATAGCTAGCTTGCTGATGGATGCAACATTTTGGTCATTCCCCAGTGCTGCCTTGGCCGTGGGACTACAAGTACCAACCAGCTGTCCAATACCATACAAAGAAAACGGCTGGGAGGTTATCAAGGTAGAATCCTCTGAGCCGGAGCAAGAAAAAGGCCTATCCAGACCATCCCTTTGCTCAGCACTCAGAGATTGTGCCCGCTTCACAGCATTGTGGGTGACCCCCAACAATGAAAATGCATCATTATTATCATCATCATCATCAGTATCATCATTGT